GGCCGGGATGAGCCCCAGCCGAGGGGGCTGAAGGCACTGGCCGACGTCGTTGCAGAGCCACTGGCGGGAATATTTGAACACTCAAATTTTGGAGGTCTTCAGGCCATAACAAGAACTTGGGTATACTGCCCTGAAGCCACCACATTATATTAGTAGTTATACTTAAGAAATCAGCTACTGTTCATCTGAAAGAAACTAAAAAAAATAATAATACTCAACAGAAGATTCTGTTGGATGCACTAAGGGTAAATGATCTCCATTTTAAGTATGTATAATTTCAGCTCAGGCTACTAAGATTTGTGTATCAAGGGGAAATCAGAAACAGTACAAAAACCACATGTAAGTGAATAGCCCTTTCTATTATCCTGCACTGTGCTAAAGTCTTCTAAATTTGCTAGATGACACCTTAGTTACCACATATATATTATATATGTTAAAGCATAATGACTAAAAAGGTCCAAAAATTACAACTCCCCAAATGCTTACTAACATGAAAGACTGTAAGCCCATTACAGTCAATAGCTCTTGTCTCCAAGTGCCCCTAACTGCATATTTAAAATATCAGTAAAGTGTACTTATTCATACGACAGACTGTAATTCCAAATGAACCATTACAGCTCATCGTGCTCAGTCTCCTGCATGTGTAGAAATGTTTTGCATTTTCAATAGCTACCAATCCCTATATAAAATGCTGTAACTTTATGAATATACACAACACATGATGAGTAATATCAAGGGATATGACACAATCACCAAAACATTCTTGATGGCACAGTCTCCTCAGCATGCCCCAGTGTGCCTATTACAGGTACAAAAGGACCAGCACATAGGACACTGTGTGCCATATGATACAACAGGTAGGCATAGGCGGATAAGGTAGGTTTCGTTTTGTTGATATCCTGTCATCAATGCACAAGTAAACTGTTTATATAGCTACAATGGTGTTTCTCCTCTTAATTTAGAATGCCACATACAATCTGGATTTCTAGCTGTTCATCATGATACTAATGCCTCTGTTTTTAATTAAGAAACACATTAGTTCTGCTTATTTGAAAAACGCAGAAAACCAAAGGCATTAAGTGATAAAATTACCTGCTTCCCCTTTTTCACCCCATTCTGCCTTTTGTCATTCACATCCAGGAATGTCACAGAAGCACTCCTTCTCTGTTGTACTACTGTTTTCCCCTGCTGTACTTAAGGAGAAAGAAGCAAAGTGATCACCTAATGCTTTCTCTTTATTAGCACTGAATAATGGCACTGAAGTAGTATTGTTTCCCTCCTCTCCTTTAGCCCCCTCTATTACAGAAAAGATGTTCTCTGTGTTTGTAGAAGTAAAGCCTTCTAAAAAGATGAGTTGTTTAGAACCAATACTGATGGGATTCTGCTCTTTAAGATTAATATTTTTTTCACTCCATGTGTTTCATTATTAGAGAAAGGGGTTGCTGGGGAAGTTAAAGCAGTCTGGGAACTTTCTTGAGTCCCACCATCTGTGACTGGATCAGTTTCATCTGTCTCCAAGTCTGGATCACAAGGAACAGTGAATGCTTGTTTAGGATTTTCAATTTCAGCAGCACCATTAAGTGACTCCTTTGTGAGTAACTGGTGAGGACCTAGACTGAAGATTGCTGTAGATGCCAAAGGACCCCAGACACTGCACAGCAGAGCCTGTATCAGAAGTGCAGGAATAATGTCTGAAACAGAAAAACACACTATAAAATAAAAGTGAACTAACTATAATCATGCCCATACCCAAGAGAAGGGTGTGACTATACGATCATTCATACTCACTTTAGTAAGAACATAAAGTCACTTAAAGGGAAAGTCTCTACAAGAGTGTGTTTAAGTAGACTGCAGTACATCAACATTCACTCAAATTTCTACCATAGGGCTCAGTTACACAGGACCTTATATGGATATATAGACAGAACTTACACATAAACCAGTTTAAGTGATCAGAAACTGGTTTAAACCTGTAACAGAACAGAAGTTCTGTGCACATGAACCAGTTTCAAAAATGACTGAAACTGGTTGAAAATAAACCTGGTTGAATGTAGTATCGGTTTACCTGATTTTGGTCAAACTGGTTTATAAAACTTCTGTCCCAGATCCCTTCCTGGTTCAAGTTAAATAACAGTCCCCCAGGATCCCAGTATTTTGCAGCCCTGGGCTGGGCTGTCTGCTCCAGAGAGCAGGGTTGGCCCCACCCCTCTGCTCCCTAGCTGGAGCAGCAAGGGCTGGATGACAATGGGAGGTGGGGCTGCATCCCTAGCTCAGCTTGCTCTCTAGTCTGCAGGGAGGAGGGGAGGACTGCCCGCCCCCACGCAAACCCCAGCTGGAACCTGGGGCTAGGGAGAGGGACTAAATACACTTTTCCCTGCTCAAACTTACTGCTGACTGCAACTGTGGACTATAAATCGCAGAGGAACCTGGAAGCAGGAAGAGGAAGTGATGAGAACCTTGCAGAGTCCTGCTGATATAATTCTGGACTGCAAATCCCAGAGACCTCAGGGATAGCAGGAAGAGGAAGTGAACACACAGCCAGAGCCATGCTCTAGTGCCCCACCCCCCCCAGCTTCTGACCTAAGCCACTGCAGGCATGTGGCTGCATTTCCTGAATCAAAAGTGAATGTCTTTCCAGTTGTTTCTTAGTTTAATCTCTGCATTTTAGATTATCCTGCAAAGGCTGAATTGATTCAGCCTCAGGCTTTTTGACATGCTAGACTGGAACAATCCCATGCATCAGTACAGGCTTGGGGCTGACTGGCTGGACAGCAGCTGTGCACAAAAGAACCTCGGGGTTACAGTGGACAATAACCTGAATATGAGCCAGAAATGTGCCCTAGTTGCCAAGAAGGCGAAACAGCATACTGCACTCCATTGGTAGGTGTGTTGCAAGTAGGTCAAAGGAAATAATTATTCCCCTCTATTCAGCACTGGTGAGGCCACATCTGGAGTATTATGTTCAGTTTTGGGACCCCCCACTACAAAAAGGATGTGGACAAATTGGAGAGAGCCCAGCGGAGGGAAACAAAAATGGTGAAGGGGCTGGAGCACGTGACTTCTGAGGAAAGACTGAGGGAACTAGGTTTATTTAGTCTAGAGAAGAGAAGACTGAGGGGGGATTTAATAACAGCGTTCAACTACCTGAAGGGGGGGTTCAAAAGAAGATGAAGCTAGGTTATTCTCAGTGATGGCAAATGACAGAACAAGGAGCAATGATCTCAAGTTGCAGCAAGGGAAGTTTAGGTTAAATATTAGAACAAATTTCTCACTAGGAGGGTAGTAAAATACTGAAAGAGGTTACCCAGAGAGGCAGTGGAAGCTCCATCCTTGGGG